ACACAGTTAGTGGCCAAGTTGAGGTCAAAATCCAGATGTCCTTTCTCCAGGCCCGCAGATCTCTTCCTGTGTTCAAGTCTAGAGCATTCTCGGCTCTGAGAAAAGTTCTGAAATGGAAGAAGCCAAGGCTGGTGGTCAGCAGGACTGGTGGGTTGCAGGGCTGGCGGTCAGCAGGGCTGGTGGACTGCAGGGCTGGCAGTCAGCAGGGCTGGTGGGCTGCAGATCTCTGCAGATGCTTCAATTCAGGTATGAGAAGCAGGAGTTGAGGTTACTGCTGGCTGTTCACCCCCTGCCTCATTCCCAGTTTCCTGCTCATAGGCCCTTCCTGTTTTGTTGTGAACTCCAATTCCCATGGGTCCACATTAAAGCATAGGACAGGGGCCAAACAAGCAGCCAGTGGGACCAAAACAGAGATGAACGGGGCAGGAGGGAAGAAAACAGAGGAAATGGGAAAGAGTGAACTGGTTGTGGGGGTGGGGCAGAAGGAACAGGGTGGGGGAAGGGCGAGAAAACTGAAGTAGAAAGGGGCTTGGTGAAGAGGAGAGGAAGCACAGGCTGAGCCAAGGGAACAGGCAGAGACTGGGAACACGTGAGGGAAGACGGCAGGCTGCGGGGGTGTTGCAAAATCTGCCCATGTATTCATTTCTCACATTCAGAAAAAGCCCCTCCGGCAGCCCCCATCTGCAGCTTCTGCCTCTGGCTTTTGCTCTTGTTCCTTCTCATCACAAGGTCACCCCTCACAGGCCTCCACCCTGGTCTGGGCACTTGTAAATTATGTGCACAAGGCTCTCCACTCTTCTGTTCCTTTCCCTATTTTCACAAGGACCTGTCATCCTGGGAAAGTAGAAACCAAGGACAGCAGTGCAGAGATTGGGACAGCTCTCTCCTTTGCCCAAGTTCCAGCCTAGTAGCACACTTAGAGATGTCCTTGATATATCTTACTTCAAGGAACTTGAGATGTAACATTGGTCTGAAGCTCTGTGATATATTTTCTTTTTGGTTTTTCGAGACAGGGTTTCTCTGTGGCTTTGGAGCCTGTCCTGGAACTAGCTCTGTAGACCAGGCTGGTCTCGAACTCACAGAGATCCATCTGCCTCTGCCTCCCGAGTGCTGGGACTAAAGGCATGGGCCACTGCTGCCCGGCTTGTGATATATTTTCTAGGGGTTAAAAAAAACAGTGTCCCTCATCCGTTCCTAATCCTACGCCTTCCCACGACTGCCTAACCACTTTTTCAGGGTGCTTCCCAGGCCCCAGGAAGACACATACACAAGTCCATCTGGAGCCTACTAACCCAGGCTAGAGGCAGATGCTGAACAAGCAGGTCCTCCCCACACCAGGGAGGCAGCACAGCTCAGTTTCCTGAAGGAGAGGCAGCATTGCCAGTACCTCACCACCACAGTTACCTATCCCTTCAGGTTACAGGTGTTGGAGGAGCTTGGCACAAAGAGAAGGGAGAGGGGAAAAATGGGGAAAGCTAAAACCTGTTGATGGTATCTCCACAGACTTTCCAGTGACTGCCCCAAGTCAGGGCAAGCAATCAAGTGGTCAGCAGCTAGAAACACACATGTCCTACTTCACTGGCCCCACCCTCATGACACAGTCCCATTCACCCACAGTGCTAAGGCCAAGGCATCCCAGTCCTATGGGCCTTTCCTATGTTTTCTTGACTCTCACAGGAAGCAATATCCCTGGGAACATCCTTGAGGAATCTTTTTTTTTTTAATTATTTATTTGTGCCGGGCAGTGGTGGTGCATGCCTTTAATCCCAACACTCGGGAGGCAGAGGCAGGTGGACCTCTGTGAGTTCGAGACCAGCCTGGTCTACAGAGCTAGTTCCAGGACAGGCTCCAAAGCCACAGAGAAACCCTGTCTCCAAAAACAAAAACAAAAACCAAAAAAAAAAAATATATTTATTTGTAGTGCATTGGTGTTTTGCCCACATGTATGTCTGTGTGAGGGTGTTGGATCCCCTGGAACTAGAATTGCAGACAGCTGTAGCTGCAATGTGGGTGCTAGGAATTGAACTCAGGTCCTCTAGGAAGAGAGTCAGTGCTCTTAACCATTGAGCCATCTCTCCAGCCCCATCCTTGAGTACTCTTACAAGTGATATCTCTGATTCCTCTACCCCAAACTTCCAGAGGTGGCTTCTCAGCCTAGAAATAGCATCATCCACGAGCCCTAGTCAAACAGACCAGTAAATAACCCCTCAAAGGCAATCTTTCCCGCTAAGCAGGCCATAAAGTAAGGTTTGCAGAGGTGGGCTGGGACAGTTACTGTTTCTGGATCCTTCTTCCAGTACTCTAGATGAGTAGAAAGAAAGGGAACCATCTTCCAGAGCCCTGGGAACCCACTCATGCTGGCTAACTTCTGTCCAAACTCCTAATCACAAAACAAAGAAGAATCTAGGAACCCATTTCCTAACTCTGTATGTTCAGACAGGATATAGAACACAAAGAAGAAAAGTAATATTGATTTAGGCTTTTCTTCATAATATTCTGTATGTGTTATCATTTCATGTTTTTTGTTTGTTTGTTTTATTTTGTTGGGTTTTGTGTGTGTGTGTGTGTGTGTGTGTGTGTGTGTGTGTGCTTTGAGACAGGGGGTTTCTCTGTAGCTTTAGAGCCTGTCCTGGAACTAGCTCTCGTAGACCAGGTTGACATTCAACTCACAGAGATCCACCTGCCTCTGCCTCCTAGGTACTGGGATTAAAGGCATGTGCCACCACTGCCCGGCCATTGCATGTATTCTTACGGTAAATCTTAGGAGGTCACTAACAAGTTACAAATATCAGAAACCGAATACAGGGAAAACTGATTCAAAAGCTTCTGCTCCTAATGGAGAAAGCTCACCAGTTAAGAGCCTTTGCTGCTCCTACAGAAGACCATGTTCAGTTCCCTGTACCCATGTTGAGTGGCTCACAACCACATGTAAGTATGAAGGATTTTCATTCTACTTTGGTGAGCTAACGATTTACATTCTGAAAGCACAATGCCCTGGATAATTTTTTAGAGTAAACATGATACTAAAATTTTTTGTTTGTTTTTTGAGACAGGGTCTCCTGTAGCCTAGCCTGGCCTTAAACTTGCTATGTAACTGAAGCTGTCCTTAAATTAATCTTCCTGCCTCAATCTGCCATGTGCTGGGATACTAAATAAAATAGTCTTAAAACAACTCCATGAGATGTATGTGGAGGAGCATGCCTATAATACCAGCACATGAGAAGCAGCGGCAGTAGGACTTTAAGTTGTAGGCCTGCCTGACCTACAAAATGATATGCACTTGTCAGTTAGCCATGTTTTGATCCCACTTATGGGAAAGGTTTCCTTCGGGAAAATGTCAAGCTAGTTTGGGGCTACCATATATAATTTAACAATGCAGTTTGAGCCGGGCAGTGGTGGCGCACACCTTTAAGCCCAGCACTCAGGAGGCAGAGGCAGGCGGGTCTTTGTTAGAAGACACTGTCCACTAGAGTGCTCTGTGCAGCACACACTAACATTGGAACAACACAGAGGGTTTGCATACCCTACACAAAGATGACAAGACAATTTGGGAAGCAATCTTTATTTTCGTTTTTCAAGACAGGGTTTCTTGGGCTGGAGAGATGGCTCAGAGGTTAAGAACACTGACTGCTCTTCCGGAGCTCCTGAGTTCAATTCCCAGCAACCACTTGGTGGCTCACAGCCATCTGTAATGGGTTCTGGTGCCCTCTTCTGGCCTGCAGGCATACATGGAGGCTGAACACTGTGTACATAATATATAAATCTTATAATAATAATAATAATAATAATAATAATAATAATAAAGACAGGGTTTCTCTGTGTTGTCCTGGCTGTCCTAGAACTCACTATGCCAGCCTGGCCTCAAGCTTAGCAAGCCCCCTGCCTCTGCTTTCTCAGTGCTGGAATTAAAAGGATGTGCCACCACAGCTCAGGATATTTTATACTAAGGGGGTGGGCTGGTGAGATGGCTCAGCAGGGAAGGGCACTTGCTGTCAAGCCTGACTACCTGAGTTCAGTCTTTGGAACCCACACTGTAGGGGAGCATGGACTTCTGGGAGCTGTGACTGATCTCTACACATGCAACACACACATGGATATTAAAAAAATAAACAACTAATTATATACCAGTCAGAAATCAGAACACTTACATTTCAAACTAGGTGTGACAACATGCTTTGGACATTTGGGAGGTAAGGCAGGTCAAAGCTAGCCTAGGCCACATAGCGAGATCCCAATTCTATATGAAAGAAAGAGAGCGAGAGAGGGCAAGAAGACTGCTTGTCTGAGTCGTGCACACTTGCATGCCAGTGCACACAGGCCATGTTGGAGGGTCTGAGAACCTGTCTCAAAAGACAAATAACAACAAAGCCAAGCAAGTTTGAATTCTCTTAACTGTGAGCTTAGGCAAATCACTTCTCTCTGGGTTGGCATCCTAATCTAAACCTATGGAGGATCTTTGTGAATCACTTGATATTATATGCAAAATTGTATTCTATGTTCATGTTTGCTCACTTTTTCTGGAGAAAGGGCTGATTTTTCATATGACTTATAAGGGAACCTGTGGTTAAGAAAGTTAAAAAACTAGCTGGGTGTGGTTGTGCACGCCTTTAATCCCAGCATTCTGGAGGCGTTTAAGGCCAGCTTGGTCTAGAGTGGGTCCAGGACAGTCAGAACAACACAGAGAAACCCTGCTTTAAAAAACAAAAACAACAAAACAAAACAAAGGTTGGAGGGCTGACTTAGTTGTTAAGAGAACTGGTTCTCTTCTGGCCTGAGAGAGCTCTGTACGCGTCCCACAGGTACACATGCCGGCAAAACGTCCATACACAGAAAAGTTTCTTTGTGTTTGTTGTTGGTTTTCCGAGATGGGGTTTCTCTGTGTAGCCCTGGCTGTCTTGGAACTCACTCTGTAGACCAGGCTAGCCTCAAATTCGGAATTCTGCCTGCCTCTGTCCTTGTGAGTGCTGGGACTAAAGAGGAGTGCTACCACCGCCTGGCTAGGGTTTGGGGCTTGTTGTGTTTTTGTTTCGTTCTTTAGTTAAAAACTAGCTTTCAAGCCCTCTTAGTCTACTTCCTCAGTCTTTGTCGAGGTGACTTTGGAAGTATACAATTTTATCTGGAGTCCGGGGACAGTAGTTCTCCTCAGACTTGGCAGATATACTGAGGTGGGCTTGCTTACAGTTGGAAGAGCTGCATCAATACCGCGGGCCTAAGATCTGACCTGAAACTGTGTCATTATAGGGTTTGGAGTCACAAAATCTGGAAGCCAGACTGGCTACCTGCCCCTAAATCCTTAAGGATAATGTCTGACTCTTATTCAGTGGGAAGTCCGGTTACATGCCTGCATCAAACTACAGCCCCAGCTGTCTGAAATTCCTCCCATGGGAATTCGATTTGCAGTGGGTCTGGGAAATCTGAACAACCTATACAATTTAACTCCCCTTAGCGGAAACACGATGTTTTGAGCATAATTTAATTTAAATATGGGCAAAGACAGGGAAGGCTGAAACTGGGGAGTGAAAGGGAAACTAAAGGTTTGTGCAGGAAATGAATGGTAGACTAGACTGCGCCATTCTCAGGGAGTCCAAAGGGCTGTTTACATGCAGTGCCCTACACCCCAAACAAAGCCACTTAGGGAAACAGCCAGCGTCAAGACTCAAACTACACACAGAAGACAGGAATAGAAAGCGAGGCCCTATATTTCCCCACACCTCGTCCCAATTCTGCACCAGCTGAGGCTCCGGGATCACTCTCAGAAGCACTCTTCGAGGGAGACGCTAGCTCTCCAGGTTAAGATGACGCCCTGGGCAAGCACCAGCCTGGTAGTGAAAGAGATAAGCTTGACCTAGGGCATTTACAAAACAAATGGGTCCTTAAACCCTTTCGGTTCGAAATATTGCGCTACATTCCCCAGCTCGTCCATCATCGCCGACCGTAAATTCCAAATTCTGCTTTCATCCACCGGACACACACGCACACGCGCGCGCGCGCGCGCGCGCAAAGATGGCGAAGAATGCACTTCCGGCAAGTGTCCTTACGAATGCATCCGGGCGTCTGCAGCAGGTACCGCCCAAGGCGTTCCGGCCCCTTTGCTGCACAGCCAACAACGGTGATGGCGGGCAGACAGTCTGGTTGGAGCCAGGCAGCTCTTCTTCAGTTTCTCCTTGGCATGTGCCTAACGGTGATGCCACCTACCCAGGCCCGGAGTCTGCGCTTTGTTACCTTGGTAATGGGTGACGAGTCACCGACGGGTTCTCCAAAGCTGAAAGGGCAAAGGGCGGCTATGCTAGTAGGAGGGGTAGAGCTTGTGCTCTGGGGTCGGGGTCTCACTTCTTAAGGAGAAAGAACTGGTTTAGGAAGCAGTTGGCCTGTGGTGGATTGCTAGACTGGATTCAGAATTGATTTGGAGCCCTAGGCCATTTTGCAGAACGGGGCGACCAAGTAATGTTAGGGTATATTCTTCCCTGGGATGATTCTTCCCAAGGATGGGAATGTAATTAAAAGGTTGAGAGTCACCCATACAGACGACTTAGAAGATCTTTGCTTTCCCAGTCATTGCCCTCCTCCTCCTCCTCCAGAATGCATTGCTTGCACTACTTGTGCTTCTGGCTTTGCTTATTATCTCTGGTTACATTGCATGGCTTTGAACTGGGGTTCTTTTTTCGTTACTTAGTGGAAAGGATTCCAAGAGGGTGTGAGATTCCCTGTCCTGACGTGGGCAGAGGTGGGCCCTGTCCTTAACCAGAAGACCCTTCTGATCTGTAGACAAACCATTGTTTTTAACTCAGCTGTATCGACATGGAGATCGGTCACCAGTGAAGACATATCCCAAGGACCCCTATCAGGAAGAGAAATGGCCCCAGGGTTTTGGTCAGCTAACCAAGGTGGGTCAGAGGCCAACCTACAGGGCCTCGGAATATGCTATGATGGGTCATGTCTGGAGCACAGAAACTTAGCCTCCCTACACTGCTAGTTTTCCACATGGGTTCTTATGGATCAGATGTCTATTTTACTGTTGTTTTGTTTTTGTGGTTTTGGAAGTCAAACCCAGGACCTTGTCTATGCTAAGTACACTGAACTATTTCTCTGGGTATGACCAGATTTCTTTTTTAAAAAAGATTTATCATGTATACAGTGTTCTGTATGCCTGCAGGCCAGAAGAGGGCATCAGGTCTTATTACAGATGGCTGTGAGCCACCATGTGGTTCCTGGGAATTGAACTCAGGTCCTCTGGAAGAGCAGCCAGTGCTCTTAACCTCTGAGCCATCTCTCTAGCCCCTATAACCAGATTTCTTAAGAATACTGTGTGCCCAGGACAGTGTCATTCATAAGTGACCTCTTAACTTTGCTCCTTGCCAAGGGAAAAATGCTTAAATGTCATAGGACCTGTGAGCCATCCCTTCCTTTTAGACTTTCTTAACCCTCAGGTTTGCCCACAGGAGGGGATGCTGCAGCACTGGGAGCTAGGCCAGGCTCTGAGGCAGCGCTACCATGGCTTTCTGAACACCACTTACCACCGCCAAGAGGTAAGACTGGGAACTTGATCGGCAAGAGGAATGTGATTTTTGGATTATTTTCTGACCTTAGAGAATCTAAGGGTGAGGCTAGGCACTTTAGATTTCCTCTTGAAATTTTGGTCCATGGACAAAAATTTAAGAACTGTCTAGAATACTGCTCTGGAGTCTGAATTGTCTCTGTCTGGGAAGAGACAAAACTGGCCAAGAGTCCAACTCTGGTATAGGCAGGGTCTGGTATCGTACTTCCTGATTATAAAACAGCAAATGGCTGTCTATCCAGACATCCAAGGCAGGCACTGTGCTAGTGCTTTTCATAGAGTGATGATCTCTGTCTCCCTGGAGCTTACAGTGAAAACTGGCAAGTGTGCTGGCTCCTGTGTCCTCTGCCAGTGTTAGAGACAGCTGTTCTGGGGTTTCTGCTATCAGCCACTACTGTGTCAATCCTTTACATGTTACTGTTCCCTAAAGGCCCAGCTCTACCCTGAGCTCATCCTTCCCTATTTTCTTCCTCCCTTTACACAAGCCATCTCTCTCTGTTCCTTTTTCCTGGTCTCTAAGTTCATTTATAAAGGGGAAGGAGTGTGGTGAGGAGTGATATTCCCCATTAGGACTCTGGGGTGTGGCTTTTGTTTAATTTTTATACAGGCTCTCACTTGTGTAGCCCTGGTTAGTCTTGAACTCAGTGATCTCCCTGCCTCTGCTTCTCAAATTCTAGGATTAAGAGTATGTACCAGGCTGGGATTAGAGGCTCATATCTTTGATCCCAGCACTCTGGAGGTAATAGCAGGAGTTTGAGGTTAGCCTGATCTACATAGTGAATTCCAGGACAGCCATTGCTACATATATAGTAAGACCCTGTCTCGGGTTTGAGTGGAGTGAATGTGTACTATTATGGCCAACAAGGACTCTGATCTTTTTTTTTTCCAGAGTGAAGTTTGATATTTATTTAGTGGGTTACGGAAGGGGGAAGAGAGGAGAGAGAGAGAGAGAGAGAGAGAGAGAGAGAGAGAGAGAGAAACAGAGAAGGGGGAGGGGAAAAGTAGGGAGAAGGGAGAGACAGAAGCTGCCTCTTCGAGAGAGAGAGAGAGAGAGACGGAAAGGCAGGACTCTGGTCTTGATGGGAGACAAGCCAGGTATTAAAATCTCTCAGGGGGGCTGGAGAGATAGCCTAGAGGTTAAGAGCATTGACTGCTCTTCCAGAGGTCTTAAGTTCAATTCCCAGCAACCACATGGTGGCTCACAACCATCTGTAATGAGATCTTGTGCATGCAGGTAGAACACTGCATATTATACATAATAAATAAAATAAAATCTCTCAGACGTACCAAATGAGTGCTTTGATGAACAGGAAGAAGTGTTTGAACTAGAGCCATTCCCACAGACTGGTGATAGCTCATAGCTCAGTGCTTGGAACCTTGGGGAATAGGGAGGATCCAGATAGGCTGTGTATGCATGGTAAGTTTAAAATGTGCTGAGTAATCATCCAGAACAGGTTTCCCCTGGGACTCCAGTGAGAAGCCAGAGTGCTTCTGCACACAAAGAGAGATTTGTGTTGCCAATTTACAGGTTTATGTGCGAAGCACTGACTTTGACCGTACTCTCATGAGTGCTGAGGCCAACCTGGCTGGACTCTTCCCTCCCAGTGAAGTGCAACGTTTCAACCCTAACATTTCATGGCAGCCCATCCCTGTCCACACTGTGCCCATCACTGAAGACAGGGTAAGACTGGCCAGTAGTGAGAAGACTGGAGTGGAGAAGGGACAGCTATGGTCATGGCCTACTGATCCAGACTTCTGTTTCTCTTTAATTTGCAGTTGCTAAAGTTTCCATTGGGTCCATGTCCCCATTATGAGCAGCTGCAGAATGAGACTCGGCAGACATCAGAGTATAAGAATATGAGTATTCAGAATGCAGTAAGTGGGGGCTGAGGTGTAAGTCATCAGACTGTGCTTTACTCAGAACAGTACTGATCTTCTGATCCATTTTTCTTAGCAATTTCTGGACATGGTGGCCAATGAGACAGGGCTTACGAACCTGACCCTAGAGACCATCTGGAATGTGTATGACACACTCTTTTGTGAGGTGAGCTGACCAGGGTGCCTGTTGGGATTACTCTTCTCTCCTCAGCATGGTCCAGATCTCTAGGGCAATAATAGAGCACATTGCTTGGCTACTGCCATCCCCACTGGGAAGGCCCAGCAAGCCAGTGCTTATGTAACCTGGGAACTTCCCTCCTGGGTAAAAAGAACCTCGAAGTGGGAAATGGTTTACTAGTTGTCAGCACTCTGTATCCTTCTCCATCTAGAGCTCAGTACTGTGAGATTTCTTTCTGCTGAGTCTGCACTCCATGCTCGGGCTCCCTTTCCAATGCCCTGCTGTCTGCCATGTCTGCAATAGCCCCTCTTCCTCACCTCTGCTCTCCTCTTCCTCCCTCACACACACAGGCACCTTCCCCACCTGGGGAAGAAAGCCACCCCTGGAGAGGCTCTGGCCTAGGCCTAGGGAGCTAACCTGCCCGCTGCGATACACAGCAAACACATGGGCTGCTCCTGCCGCCCTGGGCCTCACCCCAAACTGTGCAACGTCTGAGCCAGCTAAAGGACTTCAGCTTCCTCTTCCTCTTCGGGATCCACGAGCAAGTACAGAAGGCCCGACTTCAGGGTGGTGAGTGACACACACAGCAGGTCACTGCCCTCCCCAAACTCTCCAGCATTAAAAGTCTACCGTGGGAGCTGCTCACACACTATTCCGCCTGAGATAATTCTCTGCTCTTTATAAACAGATCTCCCCTTTGTCATCCCTGCTAGTCACCAAATCTCCTGGTTCTCTAATATTCGGCCCAAGTTACAGGTCTCACTATGTAGCTCTAGCCAGGCCAGCCCCAAACCACAGAGATCCACCTGTCTCTGCCTTCCGAGTACTGGGATTAAAGGTGTGTGCCACATCTGGCCTGCCATTCTCACTCTTAAGTTTAAGCCATGTCAGAAGACCCTTTCTCTCTTTCCTAATTGCATGTCTCCCTCCAGAGAACTGCTAAGGCCCTTGGAGAAAAGGCTGAAGGCAATGCATGTGCCAGTTACTTCATTTAAGCATTCAAGTGTATGCATTCTCAAACCTTTGACAATGCAGTCATTTTCAGAACCTGCATACTGCAGTTGCCCTGACATGCCCACCATCTCAGGTGCTGTGAAGCAGTCTTAAGTTTATATTGTGTTCATACTGTTAAAGCAGTCATGATTAGAGCCTCCTAGCTCAAGTTTAAGTACTAATAACTTGCTTTATCTGTGTCCTATGTAAACTTGACAATTCTTAGCAGTTGGCGGTGCAGAGTTCCAGGATGGTCTCTATGAACTGGAAGAGTTCTCTGGGTTGGTGACTAAGACTAGCAGATGATTAGAAAAGCGGATCCGTGACAGTTCAGGACACTGACACTTGTGACTTCTCTTCCTCAGGAGTTCTGCTGGCTCAGATACTGAAGAACCTGACACTAATGGCAACCACCTCTCAATTCCCTAAGCTTCTGGTTTACTCTGCGGTAAGCTCCAAATCCCTAACACGTTAGTGTCAAACCAGGAATTGGGTATTTTCCCGATTCCATTCCTGGGATGCAGAGGAGCCAACAGCCCTTCTCCCTTACAGCATGATACTACCCTTGTTGCTTTGCAAATGGCACTGAACGTCTACAATGGGAGACAAGCTCCCTACGCTTCCTGCCACATGTTTGAACTGTATCAGGAAGATGATGGGTAAGTGGAACTACCAGGGTGTTCCCTGAAGGCAGCCCAGAGACTCAGTCCTGGGCATGGTGAGCATCCTCCGTCTTGCCTCCTGTTAACTCTCAGGAATTTCTCAGTTGAGATGTACTTTCGGAATGACAGTAAGAAGGCACCCTGGCCTCTGATCCTGCCTGGCTGCCCTCACCGTTGCCCACTGCAGGACTTCCTTCGTCTCACAGAGCCTGTCATCCCCAAGGACTGGCAGAAAGAGTGCCAGCTCATAAGTGACACTGCAGACACAGGTGAGCTGCCACCTGCATCTGTGCTAATGTCCTGGGTCAGCCATCTTCCGCCTTTCCCTGGACAGCCTCTTCAACCCTAATACTGTATTTATATACTCTCCATTCCTCACCCTCATTGCCCTGCCACATGTACCAGCTTCCCTGCTTGTATAAGCTAGTAGTCAAGTTCAGCCTCTCCACTTACTCTGTGTTGGTCTCTTCTCCCCTTCATTGGGAATATGCTCCCTTCTCTACTGGATCACTCCCATTGCAAAGCGTAACAGACTTCTGAGACTCACTTTCTCTCTGTGATCCCTTTGGGTAAAAATCTTCAAAGAGTTGCCTACATTCTGGCTTTACTTCCTCAGACTCTTATTATCTCAGACTGACTTGAAACAGTGGTGTCACCTTTTACTGTGATGATCGATTTAGTCAGCTTCTCTCAGCATTGCACACCTGTCACTCCTTCCTTAAACATGTTTTCTGAGTGCTGCAGACATGGCTCAGTGGCAGAAGCCATGGCTAACATGTATGAAACCCTGGATGCATTCCCCTACCCAGCACTGCAAAACAGTAACATTTTCATGACTTCTGGTCTTTACTATAACTTCCTTCATGGTTTTCTTTTCACTGAACAATGAATGACCTGAGGCTTGTCCCTAGCTCTTTTCCTATCTATCCTGAAGAAGTGGTCCTAAGACCACATGGCTCCCCTACCTCATCTCCATGGTAAGTTAAGTTCCACTTGTGTAGTATGACTTACAGATTTATGACTGCTGCTGACTTGAGGCCTCTTCTTTATATAGGTTGAATGAGGCATCTAAGTTGTCTAAAACAGCATCTCTTCCCCTGGGATCTTCTTGTTCATCAGTTTAATAGATGCCACGTTAGTCCCATAGCTGCATGACCTAACACTAGGTATTCTCTTCCTCGTCCTCCACCTAGTCCCACAGATTCTGTCTGCCTGGCTTCTTGGACACTGAGCTCTTGCCTCTCCAGCCTAATGTTCATTCTGGGTCTATTCTTGTCTCTACCAGTCTCAACACAGCAGAGTTAATTTTTTTAAAAAAATATAAATTGAGGCTAGAGGTATAGCTCAGTTGGTAGAAAGAGCACTTGCCTAGCACACAGAGAAAGGTGAGTTCAGTCCCCAGCACTGGGTGTGGTGGTGCACACCTTTAATTCCAGCACTAAGGTGGAAGGAGAAGGATTTAAAGTTCAAGGTCATCCTATGCTGATAGCCAGTTCCAGACAGTCTGGGCTATATGAGATCATGGCTTTTTTTTTTTTAATTTTATGTGTGTGTGTGTGTGTATACTAATCACGCACCAAACTCAAGTTCTCTACCGTGACCACCCAGCCTGCACTTGGCCTGGTTGTCTCCTGTTTCCTAGCGCCCCTTGCTTACTCTGCTCCAGTGATATTTTCTTGCTGAATTCAGAACCCCAATCCTACTTCAGTATCAGGCCCTTTTGTACGTGCTTGTGCGCCTGTGCCCCCACCCTGTGGCACTCTACTCTCAGATCTGTTTTACTTATTTTGTTTGTTTTTTCCAAGACAGGGTTTCTCTGTGGCTTTGGAGCCTCTCCTGGAACTAGCTCTTGTAGACCAGGCTGGCCTCGAACTCACAGAGCTCTGCCTGCCTCTGCCTCCTGAGTGCTGGGATTAAAGGTGTGTGACACCACCGCCCGGCCTGTTTTACTTCTTGACTCCAGGTCTCTGCTCCTATTTCCTCAGTGATTTCTTTTCTGAGTAACTTACCTTGCTCATTTAACATCACTAATGTGTCATTACCATCAAATGCTTGTTTACTAGAATGTGAATTCCATAAGAGCAGACTGTCTTGACCACCTTTGTAGATGCATGTTTTGTCCAGACAGGACCTGGCATGGGGTAGTGCTCTGTGTTTGTATTTGTTTGATGAATACTAATGTTACCTTTCTTTTTCCCTCCCCTGCCCAGAGGTGATTGTGGCCTTGGCTGTCTGTGGCTCCATCCTCTTCCTTCTAATAGTGTTGCTCCTCACTGTCCTCTTCCGGATGCAGGCTCAGCCTCCTGGCTACCACCATGTTGCAGACAGGGAAGACCATGCTTGACAACCACTCAGTCCCCTTCCTCTGCTTCCTAGGGGAGGTGAGCTGATCCCAGCACTTAGCCTCCCTGATTACCTAAGCCCAGGTGAATGAGTGAGGCTCTCCTGGGCTATGACACCTGTGACTCACCATCTACACGCCTGGTGTTTACCATGTGCTGTGCTGGACACTGGCTGTGACACCTGTGACTCACCATCTACACGCCTGGTGTTTACCATGTGCTGTGCTGGACACTGGCTTTCTCCAGATGGGATCTGTCTCTCCTATACTGCCTAAGGACCTGAGATACAGACTAGCATTCAGTTTCCGCTCAGGACCTGGGATACAAAAACAAAACAAAACTGAAGCCGGTGCTTGACCTGCCTTGCTCTTCCACCAAGCCTTGTTCGTTGTCTTCTAGCCCACATCTTTGGCAAATGGCATAGAGGACATTGTCCCTTGGTACTTTTTTTAGAGGCAAAAACTGCAAATCACTGGGAGTGTAAAATGTGGCTATTAAGGAACTGGGTCATCCAACAGCAGAGTTTTCCTGTGGCTGTGGCTACTGTTAGTGTCAACTCTTGGCTTGAGCAGGGTCTCAGGCAGGTCTGAAAGATGTGTGTACTGTACCTGGATGAGTGGGAGGACACAGGCAGGAGAGACACATCATGAAGTGAGTCTCCCGCAGCTGGGCTGTGCTCTTCAGAGACTCTGAACTGGACTTGTTTGTTTAGGGCTGCAGGGACTTGGAAGAAATGAAGGTCTGACTGAGTGCTGGCTCTGTGCCTTTCTTTTCTCCCCCATTCTGACATCCAAGGAGCACTCTTACAGGTTGTACTAGATCTGCTCAGAAGCCCAGCTGCTTTTGGTTTTTTTAGTTGGTGTACAAAGGATATGCTTTTATTGGCCGTGTAAAGACTGAACATAAACTTTAAAAAATTCCCTGGTTATTCTGCTACCACACATCAGAAAAAAGAAAAGTACCTTGGCTCTAGGATAAACTTAGACTAAAGACAGCAGGGACCCTTAGGGCAGGACCTTTGCTCCTTTTTCTGGAGCAAAATCTAGAGCAGTAACATGCCGATATCTTAGTCCCACAGTATCCCATGTCACAAGTGACCCTACTCCAACCCTGTTGGGTACGTCTGGTCCTCTTCTCACAGAATTTCTTCCCATTTGTGGAGTCCAGCTGTTGCTGTCTCATACCCTCTTCACTGTCTTTTGTGATATTTATGTGACCTGGCTTCCTCTTGGTTCCAAATGAGAATATGATAACCTAGAAGAAACAAGAAGTCTGACTGACACCTTCTGTTACTGTCTCAGAGCTTGGGACTGTCATGGGGAGCTAGCAGACTGGATAATATCCTCACACTGTCATGACCAATATAAAGCCAGATGGGTGATCTGGGCCAGAGACCACTGTCTCCCAGATTTCTTTATTGCCTATGCCCTGGGATGAATATGGCAGGGCTAGAGTGAATTTAGCCTCTTTTGAAACCTAGGGATAGGGTCAGACTTAGACAGTCTCAGATACAGTTGCTTTTACTCACCCATGGCAGTGGCCAGTGTGTCCCCCATAGGATTGAACTCATTGAGCTGCAAAGGTAAGAATTTCAGTGTGAAAGTGGGGTGAAGGCAGTACAGAGGCAGAAGGGTGCATGGGGATATATTCTGATCAGAAAGGTAGCTCAACTCCCGGCTTCCTCCCATCACTGTTTGCGGGTTCAAGTCTCACCGAAGTGATACCAGAATATCCTGGATCATAGAGCTGACACATCATCTTCCCCGAGTTTCCATCAAACACATCTATTGTCCTTAGTTCATAGGGGACACAACTTTTGAGATTAGGATCTGGGTATCGGCCCACAACAATGAGGTTGTGCCTCGGATGCCAGGATGCCTAGGAAATGGGAGAAGTCGGTCAGAACATAGAGACATCAGTTTTTTTGAAGCCAGGGGAGACGACCCAGTTCGTAATGGGCTTGGCACACAGGTGGACCCATGCAGAAATCTTGTCATGATGGAGATAGGATACCTGGGACTTGCTAGCCATCTAGTCCCACCAAATCAGTGAGAGACCCCATCTCAAAAATAAGTAGGGAACAGCTGAAGGAGATACCTGATGTCAACCTCTGGCCTCAACACACACAAAATATTCTTTAAGAGCTGGATATTTAGTTCTGTGGCAGAGTACTTACATAGCATACACAAGACTGTGTTTGGTCCCAGCATCACACATACACATGAGTTGTGTGCTCTCTCTCTCTCTGTGTATATGCATATTTTTCCCAAAACTTTAACTACTAATAAGGCCAATAAGAACCCAAAACCGCATATAAGACAAACATGAGGGTCAGCTAGATGACTCAATAGATAAATGCATCTGACCCCAACCAAGCCTGACAACCTGAGTTTGATCCCTGGGCCTATGTGGTGGGAGGGAAAAGCAAATCTGACCACTTTGCCTACTGTGGCATGAGTATACAGGCATGAAATTCAGGAATGTGGGCTTAATTTTTGAAAGGTTTCTCTGTGTAGCCCTGGCTGTCCTGGAACTTGCTCTGTAGATCAAGCTAGCCTTGAACTCACGGAGATCTACTTGTCTCTGCTGTGCTGGAATTAAAGGTGTGGGGCTTCACTGCCCAGCTTCTATTTTATTTTTATTTTTTTAGATTTATTATGTATAAAATGTTCTGCCTGCATGAATGCCTACACACCAGAAGAGGGCACCAGATCTCATTACAGATGGTTGTGAGTCACCATGTGGTTGCTGGGAATTGAACTCAGGATCTCTGGAAGAGCAGCCAGTGCTCTGAACTTCTGAGCCATCTCTCCAGCCCATATTTTATTTTTTTGGATAGTGTCTTACTCTGTGTACTCCTAGTTGTACTGGAACTTGCTCTGTAGATCAGGATGGCCTTAAACTACTGGGATTAAATGCATACACCAGCTGGGTGGTGGTAGTGGCGGCAGTGCACACCTTTAATCCCAGCACTTGGGAGGCAGAAGCAGGTGGATCTCTGTGAGTTCGAGGCCTGCCTGGTCTACAGAACGAGTTCCAAGACGGCTACACAGAGAAACCCTGTGTGGAGAAACAACATAAACAGAAGAAAAGAATGGGGAAAAAATGTGTACACCATCTGATGAAGATTTATTTATTTTATGTGTATGAGTGCTTTGGTTGCATGTATATAAGTGTACTGCATATGTAGCTGGTACCTGCAGAGGCCAAAAGAGGACACTGGATCATCTGGAACTGGAGTTACAGACAGTTGTGAGTTGCTATGTAGGTGCTGGGAATTGAACCCAGGTCCTCACTGAGCCAACTCTCCCACTCCTCTCTTGCATTTTCTTAAGGTAATACCAGCTTGGGCACTTTTGTTTTGTTATTGCTATTTTGTTTGTTTGTTCGTTTGTTTTGCAATTCTGGGGACTGAACCCAGGGCCTTGTGCATACTAGGCAAGGGCTTTACCACTGAACACCTCTGGCTCTTAACAATGTTTTCACATTAGCTTTGTTAAGACTAACATAGTTAAACCTAAGAGATAAACCTATAACAAGCAAAAAAAGCCTCTGGGAAATAACACCAAATGGGACTTAGGTTCTTAAGTGACTCTACTACTAATCCCTCTCTACCCACAGATAACAAAGACTTGGATATGCAGTCCTAGTAGGAAGGGAAAAGAAAGAAAACATGCATTCCTTGGTTCACATTATTCAAAACAGATCTAGCAGTTATTGGTGTGACTTATTTTCAAAACAGTTCTTAGTTTTTTTTTTTTTTTTTTTTTTTTTTTGGTTTTGTATAACCCCAGCAGTCCTAAAATCTGCAATCCTTCCTCAACCTAAAGTGCTAGGATTATAGGTGTGTGCTCCATGCATGGCTTCAAGGCAGTTTTGAAGGAAGAAAGACAAAAACAAAAGAAGAGGGAGAGACAATTGGACTGGAGAGACAACTCAATGATTAAGAGCACTGGCTGCTCTTCCAGAGGACAGGTTTCCTAGCACGTAAAATGCCAGTTCACAACCATCTGTAACTCCAGTTCCAGGGGACCCCATGCCATTCTGACCTCTAAGGATACCAGGTGTGCACATAGTACACAGATACACATGCAGGTAAAATACTCATACACATCAAATAAATAAACAGTAATCAAGAATAGAATATGTACATGCTTAGAAGTAGTTGCAAAAAAATTCACAGGTGGATTGGCATCAATGGACACGATGGGATGAGGACACAGCCTATTGAGAGTAATACTGACCCTGAACTCCTGATGCTCCTGCTTCTACCAATGAGTACCACTACACCTAATGTCTTCATGTGCCCTCCCCTTCCCTAGGGCACTGTTCATGCTACATGTACGTTCTCTACCTTTGAGCAACATTCCCAGAAAAATCTTTGTGTGTGTGTCAGGATATCAATGTAGTCATGGCAAGTTTTGAACCATAGATCCACCTGGTTCTGCCTCCCAATTGCTAAGATTAAAGGTATGAACCACAGCACCTGGTTTCAGAAATTTTTTGTTTTTGTGTGTTGTTTCTCTGTATAGCTGTCCTGGAACACTCTCTGTAGACCAGCCTGGTCTTGAATTCAGAGATCACCTGCATCTACTTCCTGAGTAGAATGATCTGATGTGGGATACTAAGTTGTTTCTTAAGTACTTACCAAGTGCTAGGCATGGTGCCCAGTGTTTTATGTACCCTGACTCATCCTCACAAAACCCTATTCTCTCTTACAGATGAAACAGAGGTCTAAATTGGGAAACTACGGGTCTTATTTCTACTATTAGGGACCACTTAAAAATGCAAGACAGTCCAAGGTTAGGTTAATTTATGGGTCAGCTGCACACACGGGTAACTCAAACAGAAGGCAGAACAAAGGAGGTCAAGGTCATAGAAAATGTCCATAGTAAGATCAATATTGGGCTGAAAAGCTTAGGAAATTAGCTCATCAAATACACTAAGAAAACTCAATGGGTGATTGGTATGGATGGTGGTGCCTGCCTTTAATACCAAGCACTTGGGAGACAGAAACAGGTGATTTCTACAAGGTCAGGCCAGCCTGGGCTACTATAAGACCCTACCTGAACTCCAAATGGAAATGAGATAAAGGCGCAGACAGAGCCAAAGGATTAAGGGAAAGACAGCATCTGAGATTGTAGGCTGCATATGTGACCCTTTCCCCAGCTTGGCAAGATCTGACCCGTTCCCATAATCACTCACCTTGATGGGTGTAAGGTGCTGAAAGTGACGATGTGGGTGGGAGATCAGGCTCAGGGGGCTGTCCCACTGGGAGGCAGAGTAAACCCGAATCTCATTGTTCTGGTCAGTAGTCAGGAGCCGGGCTCCATCCAGGCTAAAACAGGCTGACAAAATGAAAAGCTTGAAACTGAAAGAACTGTAAGCCCCTGGTATCCTGACCTTCTGAAGTTCCATTCCCTTCTAGATAAGAAGGGTAGGAGGGATCAGTCTGACTATGAACAAAAAAAGTGTAGAAACTCCACACCATCAAAGGCGCAGCCAGAGCCAGAAAGGGTGGAGTAAAGGGTTGTACTAGGGACTAGTGATGAGAAAGACAGGGTCCATAAGAGATGAGGTTTGGGATGTCACACCTGCATTGACAGGATGCCTGTGAGGCAGTGAGTAGAGGAAGCTGGTTTTCCCTCGAATTTGGCGCAGGTCCCAGATTTTCACTGTTTGATCTATGGAGGCTGTGGCAAGAAGCCAATCACAGCAGGGATTCAGGGCCACGTGGGCTACTTTCTTTTTGTGCATTCTGAGATTCCAAAGCTGCAGAGAAAAGTTTCAATCAGGTGGAGACACAGAACCAAAGGGGGATTCGGGGTGGGAGTGGGCCACATAGTACCCACCTCCTTGCCATCTGTGCTCAGCAGGATCACGTGCCCCATATTGTCTCCTGTGACCACCACTCGGCTTTTGGCAGAAACATCAAGGCTGCAAAACCAGACCCTAGAGGGAGAAAGTGCTCTGAGCCAGACTGAAGTCCAGTATCTAACAGGCATTCAATGAATATTTGTTGAATCAATGAGTAAATGTCTGGCTATAAATTTCTGGTGAAGGACACTCAGCCTTGTCTACTATGCAGAAGATGGGGGTGAGTGTGATAGAACTGAGAAATGTGTCCAATTATTGCTGGGCCCAGAATCCTCTGCTAGTCCCTGAAACAGCCAAACCTAGAGCTATAAAGCAAACCCAAAGGCTGTTTTCTCCCCACAGCCCAGGTTTTGAAGAGGCCTTATTTACAGTTCTCATGCTCCTTAGTCTTCACTCTTTGGGCCAAAGGAGATGACGAATCAAGCAGGAACTGTCCAGCTCTGCTCCTCACAGGGGCTACAAGTGAGCATCTGCCTATTTCCGAGAATTTATGGAAAAATCAAATACAACCAGAAACCTTTTCCTCTTGAAAACTATGTTAGCATAAAGAGACTAGGAAGCGGCTACTTCAAGTAGAAAAAGACAAGACCTCCTGAGTAAATTGGGAGCATGGGGACCTTGGGAGAGGGTTGAAGGGGAGGGGAGAGGCAGGGAGGGGAGCAGAGAAAAATGTAGAGCTCAATAACAATCAATGATAATAATAAAAAAAAGCCGAAAAAAAAGAAGCTACTTCATGTGTCCTGACTCAGCCAGGAGAACTCGAGTCTAGCCAGTCCCTTGTCCTGATGGTGTGCTTCTCAGTCTTGTGGGGCAGCCCAGAACAACACTCTAGCTGGTAAAACTCACTGTACACCCTCACTCATCATCCCTTACAGAGCTGCGTCTCTGGCGAGAAACAAAGTGACCTGCATTTGTAATTTCTCCAGGGACTTGTTCTTAGAGAGTTCTTCTACCCATTAACATTTCCACCAAGAAAACATACAGCCATACCCCAGAAAATGGAGGATAATAAAACTGCATTTCTTTCTTTCCTTTCTTTCTAAGACAGGCCCTCACTATGTAGTTCTGGCTGGCCTGATACTCACTCTGTAGACCAGGCTGACCTTGAATCCATAGTAGTCCACCCAGCCTTTGCCTCCCAAGTGCTGGCATTAAAGGCGTGTGCTACCACAAATGGCTAAACTTCAGTTTTAATTTCTGCTCTACTCTGTAAATGCCTTTCTAAGCAAATGCCCTGTTGACTTATCCAGTGAAAGTATAGGCCTAGTTCAATATGGACATGAGTTACAGAAGTGATTAAACTGTTTCCTCAAGGACAAGTGCCAAGAATCCAGAACACTTTCTTAGGGCAATGACCCACCTGGGCCAAAGTCAGAGTAGCCAGTCTAATGAAGAAAAGGAGTGGTACAAAGTGGCTAATACCTCATCTTCCCTGTGTCTGGCCTGAGTAAAAGAAATGGGGCTGGGTACGTTCTCTGCAGAACTGCATCTTTAAGCATGGAAGTCATTTCCCTTACTAGTTAAACTACTCACTTGCAACAGTTTGACCTGGTATAAACTTGCAGAGTGTTGCCTGTAAAATCCTGCAGCCTGGTTGTTCCCTCCATTGAGGAAGCAAAAAATTGGTTCGAATTGAGATGGTTAAACTTCAGCCCAGTGATGCTTCCTCCAGCGCCCATCTAACACGAGGAAGGAAAAAGCCAGTGAGTGATGATGAGCCACAAGTGAGGAGCCAGGCCTTGGCACACAAACAGCATTAAGGCAGAAACACAGGTCAGCGCAGATATCTGATATTAGAATATTCTTTATTTTTTTAAGGCTTTATTTTCACTTTTACATTTTCAAATAAGATGCATAACTGGTTTTGGTACACAGTTCTGTGAATTTCAACACTGACAATGAATAGCCTACCCAACCCCAAAATTAAGATGCTGAAACATTCTATTAATCCCACAAAAACTCCCTCATGCTCTCCTATTCTATCACATTTACCCACTTAAATTTAACCCCTAGAAATCACAGTGTGCTCTTTTTCCAAGAGAGTCAGCTCAGAAAAGTGGTGGGGTTTGGAGAGCGGGAATCCCCCACCCCCCGTGTTCTTCCAGACATTGCAGGCAGTGATGACACAACTGTAAAGAGCCTGGAGACAGCAAGTGTTAGAGCCCTTGCCTAGAAAGCACAAGGCCATGGGTTTGATCCCCCAAAGGGAGGTGAGTAACGCCTGTGGCTTACCTTATTAAACACTTCTATAGAGGCTAGAGAGGGGCTTAGTGGTCAAGAGCATCTACTGCTCTTCTAGAGGACTATAGTTCAGTTCCTAGCACCCACGTAGGATGGCTCCAGAGGATCCCATGCCCTCTTCTGGCCTCCGCAGGTACTCCCATATATGTGGCATATACTTGACATACAGACACACAAATATATGTAAATAAATACATAAAAATAAATTATTAAAGTAACAGGCATTCCCAGGCAGAGATAGGCAGTGCTCTGTGAGTTCATGGTCTACCTGGTCTACATAGTGAGTTCCAGGACAGCCAGGGCTAATAAACTGTCTTAAATAAATAAATTAAGATAAAATAAAATAAGACATACAAATAAGAGCTGAAGCTGGGTGGTAGCAGTGCACACCTTTAAGGAGACAAGGGCAGGTGGATTTCTGTGAATTTAAGGCCAACCTGGTCTACAGAGCAAGTTCCAGGATAGCCAAGGCTGTCTCAAATAAACTGTCTCAAAAAACCATAATAATAATAATAATAACAACACTTTAATAATAAAAAAATAAAAAAAAGAAAAAAGAGCTGATTATATACCAAGCACTGTTTTAAGAACTTGGCATCAAGCCGGGCGGTGGTGGTGCAGGTCTTTAGTCCCAGCATTCGGGAGGCAGAGGCAGGCGGATCTCTGTGAGTTCAAGGCCAGCCCGGTCTACAAGAGCTAGTTCCAGGACAGACTCCAAAGCTACAAAGAAACCCTGTCTCGAAAAACCACAGACACACACACACACACACACACACACAAAGAACTTGGCATCATCAGAAGATCCTTCTCTACTTCCTTCTTATACTACTGCAATTCAGACTTTAAACAAGGTCACCAATATAACAAACACCTAACTGCCTTCTGATTTAACATACTGGCATGTTCTCTCTATTTTTTTTTTAAAGACAGGGTCTCTTAATGTAGCCCTGGCTGTCCTCAAACTCACAGAGATCTTTGCTACAATTAAATTTACAGGCACGCACCACCACTCCCAGCTGTAAGAACATTCTAGCCCAGTGTCTGCTGTCTGCTAGTAAGACAATCGACTATTCCCACTAGTTGACCAGGTTTCACTATTCCAAGACATCACCATTGCCCCATTCCTCTCTTCTGCCTGTGGAATGACCTCTTTACCCTGTTTGGGCCCCAACTCTGTTGCTAAGCTACCATTCTGACACTACCTGTACTGACATCCATCTCAACTTAATGGGCTCCAGAAATTGATCTGAGGCCATTGTGGCCTCCCTGCTGTGTAAATGTCTCTCATTTGCCCCTACCTAATGATTTTTGGGTTCAACTCTTCAGAAAGGTAAGGAAAGAAAAGGATTAGAAAAAAAGGATGCCAATCTTGAACGACTCACCCACTAAAAAGAGTAAATAATTTTTTAAATTTATTTATTTTATTTATTATGTATACAACATTCTGCCTGCATATATGCCCACACGCCAGAAGAGGGTGCCAGATCTCATTACATATGGTTGTGAGCCACCATATGGTTGCTGGGAATTGAACTCAGGACCTCTGGAAGAGCAGCCAGTGTTCTTAACCGCTGAGCTATCTCTCCAGCCCAATAATTTATTTTTTTAAAGATTTATTTATTATGTATACAGTGTTCTGCCTGCATAACACCAGAAAAGGCACCAGATCTCATTACAGATGGCTGTGAGCCACCATGTGGGTGCTGGGAATTGAACTCAGGACCTCTGGAAGAGCAGCCAGTGCTCTTAACCACTGAGCCAACGCTCCAGCTGTGAAACAGATTTTTAAACTGGGTGGTGGTGGTGCACCTTTAATCCCAGCACTCAGAAGGCAGAGGCAGGCGGATCTCTGTGACTTTGAGGTCAGCCTGGTCTATAAGAACTAGTTCCAGGACAGGTTCCAAAGCTACAAAGAAACACTGTCTCGAAAACAAAACAAAACAAACAAACAACAACAACAAAAAACCATAAAGATTAAAAAAAATAACAAAAAATAGTTTTAAAAATAGAATATATTCTTACTAAGGCTTTCCCTACCTCATCTTGTACACTCTTGATGGCAGCATAATATAAGATGGTGTAGCCACTATTGAGAACAGTATAGAGTTCCTCAAAAAATAGCATTAACATCTGATCCAGCAATCCCACTTCTGGGCATACATACCTAAGAATGGAGCATAGGCTATCTCAAAGAGATATAGGTACAACATAATTTAAAATAGCCACATGGTAAAGTCAATTCAAATACCATTCTGTAAGAAAATGCAGTACTGAGGCTGGAGGGATGGCTCAGGTGTTAAGAGCACTGACTGCTCTTGCAGAGGACTTGGGTTCAATTTCCAGCACTGACATGGCAGTTCACAACTGTCTTTAATTCCAGTTCCAGAGGACTTGATACCCTCTCCTGGCCTCTGAGAGAAACACACACACACACACACACACACACACACACACACACACACACACTTAAAAAGGAATAAAATTTACAAAAGGAAGAAAGAAGAAAATATGGAACTGTAGGGTGTGTAATCATTCAGCTGTATCAGAGATCAGGCAGGGTGGCACTCAGAAAGCTGAATCAGAAGGACTGCAAGCTTAAGACCATTCTGGGCTAGTCAAGTCTATTTCTTTTTTTTTTTTTCATTTCTTTTTCTTTTCTTTCCTTTCTTTGAGACAGGGCTTCTCTGCTTAACAGCTCTGGCTGTCCTGGAACTTACTCTGTAGGCTAGATTGGCCTTGAGTTCACAGAGATCTGCTTGCCTCTGCCTCCCAAGTGCTGAGATCAAACGCAAGTGCCACCATACCCAGCAAGATTATATTAAATAAATATTTAATATAACCCCAGCAGCACAGACATTGAGAGAAACAATTAATAAATGGAACCTCCTGAAACTGAAAAAGCTTCTGTAAAGCAAAGAACATGGTCAACAAGACAAAACGACAGCCTACAGAATAGGAAAAGATCTTCACTAACCCCACATCAGACAGAGGTCTTATCTCCAAAATATACAAAGAATTCAAGAAATTGGACACCAAAAGATCACATAATCCAATAAAATATATGGAGTACACATCTAAACAGAGAACTCTCAACAGAGGAATCTAAAATGGCCGAAATACACTTAAGGAAAGGTTCAACATCCTTAATCATCAGAGAAAGGCAAATCAAAACAACTCTGAGATTCCATCTTACACCTGAAAAGAATGGCCAAGATCAAAAACACTGATGACAATTTATGCTGGAGAGTTCTGGGGAAAAGGGAACACTTTTGCATTGCTGGTGGGATGCAAGCTGGTACAACCTTTTTGGATGTCAGCATGGTGATTTCTCAGAAAATTAGGAAACAACCTTCCTCAAGGTCCAGCAATACCATTTTTGGGTATATATCCAAAGGATGCTCAATTGTGTCACAAGGACATGTGCTCAACTATGTTCATAGCAGCATTGTTTGTCAAAGCCAGAACCTGGGAACAACCTAAATGCCCCTCGACCGAAGAATGGATAATGAAATTGTAGTACATTTACACAATGGAGTACTACACAGCAGAAAAAATAACGACATCTTGAATTTTGCAGGAAAATGGATAGAGCTAGAAAACATTATTTTGAGTGAGGTAATCCAGACACAGAAAGATAATCATCACATGTACTCACTCATAGGTGGCTTTTAAACATAATGCAAAGAAAGCCAGCCTACAAACCACAATCCCAGAGAACTTAGACAACACCGTGGACACTAAGAGAGACTTACATAGATCTAATCTACATGGGAAGTAGAAAAAGACAAGATCTCCTGAGTAAATTGGTAGCATGGGGACCTTGGGGTAGGATTGAAGGGGGAGAGGCAGGGAGGGGAGCAGAGAAAAACATAAAGCTCAATAAATATCAATAAAAATATATAAAAAAAAAGGGTTGTAGAGATGGCTCAGAGGTTAGGAGCACTGCCTGCTCTTCCAGAGGTCCTGAGTTCAATTCCCAGCAACCACAAGGTGGCTCACAACCATCTATAATGAGATCTGGTGTCCTCTTCTGGTCTGGTGGCATACATGCAGACAGAACACCGTATACACAATAAATAAACCATAAATATATATGTATGTATGTAAAAAATGAATATTTAAAAAAGAAAATGACAAGAGTGTATGCCAGAGCCACATGTTTACCAACATACTAGAGGTCTGTATCAAGGAAAGAATGGGGTAAATAGTGCTAGAGTAGTAAATAAAGAAATCAAACTTTTATCATGTGTAGGTAATAAGATTATATAGGGAAAATTAAATCTTGAGCCGCAGCTTTTTTATTATTCCTTTATTATTATGTGTAGGAGTGTTTGTCCTGCATGTATGTCTGTGTACTATGTGTGTTCCTGGTGGAGGCCCGAAGAGGGGATCAAATCCCCTGGAACTGGAGTTTTAGATGCTGTGAGCCCCCACGTGA